AGGGAACAATGAGGTGGCTGAGTTCCAGCAGAACTTACACAGAGACGCAGCAGGTAAACCCAGCACTAGGAAGGCTGAGGCAGGAAGATCGTCGCAAGTTCGAGACCAGCCTGGGCTACAAGGTGAGTTCAAGGCCGGCCTGAACTACATAGCGAGACCTCGTCTCAAAAGAAGAAAGCAAGAGAAACAGAGGGCTGGAACTGGCCTTTGAGCTTACAAGGAGTCACTTTTCCCAAGGCTAACAGCATTCCCCTGCCTCAAAAAAAAAAAAAAAAAAAACTGCATTTCCTTTCAGCAGGCGTAGCAGTAATCACGGCAGCGGCCTGACGTGGGTTTACTGTGAGCCAGGAACTACTTTAAGAACCCCACGCATATTAATTCATCTAAGCCCAACAATCCTACAGCATAAATACCATCATTACTCTCCATTTCCACTCCTCTTGGGCTTTGTTTCGCAGTGCAATGCCGGGAATCAAACCGAAGGCACTTGAGCACGGCAGGCCAGGAGTCCCGCACTGAGCGACAGCCCAGATCCCTGTCATCCCACTTTCCACCGGGAAACTGAGGCACAGAGCAGTCACCTGCCCGAGCTCACGTGGCTCCCCCCGAGAGAGGAAGGGGGATGTGACCCAGGTTCCTTTGCGCCACAGACTGCAGTCAAGGTGGACGCCCTGGAGCTGCTCTCAGGGGCTCCTGTGTCTTCTGTGTGTGTGACGTCTTAGTAATCTGTTTAGGAAGTCAAACTCAGGACCTGCGCTTGCCGGGCTACGTCCCCGCCCTGCCTGTCCTGGGAAGCTCTGGGCAGCGGCTGATCCTCCGACGGCGCTGCCCCAGCTCTCCCCACTGCCCGCTCTGCTGCTGAAATGCCCAAATACATGTATCTGCACGTCTCACTCCGTCACTCAGTGAACCCTTTCCTAACACCGGTCCTCGGCTGTGTGTCACAGGCTGGGCAGCTTCTTCAGATTTACCTTCCAAGTCACTAATGCTTTCTTCATCATCATACAACAAAAAACAAGGCAGAACAAGAATTAAATGTTACCGTCCCGAGTTTCTACTGGTTCCTGTTTCCGGTTTTCTTTCACGTTAGCCTTCAGAACCCGTGCACTGTCTGTCTGTCTTCCCTTTCTCTAAGCGGGGATCCAGTCTTGGCCTCCCGACCCCAGCACCCGCAGCCCTCCGCACAACTCCTCAGTCTGTGGATCCGCCCTGCGCCCCATAAACCAGCTCATTCTGTATTTTTTAATTTGAAGGTAAACCCTGCCGCCCTATCCCGAGCACCCTGGGAGGCCCGGGCTGAGGTCGGGCAAAGGGGAAGATTTGCATTCCCCTCCCGGGGCCCCAGGACTTGGGCGCCCATCTGCAGGTAACTTCGGTGTGACGGCCAAGCTACAGGAGCTACGCGGGAACCAGCCTGGGACAGACACCAGGTCACAGCACCTTCCACACTCGTCAGGGAGGAGGAGGACCCAGGGCCGAGGCTCCTGCTGTGTGTTGCAGGGGGCGCAGCTCTCAGCAGCCACCCGATGGACAGGAGTCCTGGAAAAGCACGCGTGTGCCCAGGGGCGCGTGTGCCCGGGTCCGGTCTCCCCCAGCAGGCTTGCGCACCCAGCGCCAGGCCCCAGGTGTCCGCCTGCAGCCGGGTGCAGCCCTGGGCTTCCTCCCCGTCTCCGAGTCCCGCTCTGCATGTGAAACGAGGCCGAGTGGCCTTCCCAGGGCAGTTTTCCATAGAAAGGGGCTCTCGGCCTCAGAAGCCCAGAAGAACACTGAAGCTTGGCAAAGGTTTCTGCACCCCATCTTTAAGGTTCAGAAAAGCGTGGCATTCCAAACCCAGCTTCTGACATCACAGCCTTCCAGGTCCCGTGGTCCCCTGGGGATCAGAACCTCGGGTTCCAAACCTTCACTCAAAGCCTCCACGCTGGACGATGACTGAGTTTGTTTTGTTTTGTTTCTTGCCTTCAATCTCCTCTTAAAATCCTACCTCCTGCCACCGCCTGTTTCCACTGTCCAGGATTCAGTTGGTGTGAGTCAATTTCATAGGGTCACCCAGCCGCCCCGCTTTAGCCCCCTGACCCTCAGTGATCAAAGTCAGACCCGAGTCCCCCCAGGGCTCCTTGCTGGCTCGGATGGCATGACAACAGACACACCAGCCTCAGCGTCCACTCCCCTTGGCTACCAGAGAGGCAAGAGGGCTTGGGCGCCCAAGAGAAAGGCACTGCTGGGGACCCCCGAAATCACACACAAAGCAGCTTGTGCTGGCATGCAAGGGTCCCATAGGCTGGCGTTGGGGGGGGGGGGCGTCTCTGCTCCTGAGGACAGAACTCCACCGGCTCCCCCCAGGTTCCACAGGGCCTCGGCCTCTTCTCCTACACCCCCGCTGCACGGAAAAGCAGCACTCTGCATCCTAAAAATGCAACGAGCCCTTCTCCGAGCTGAGTTCAATGTGAGCTGCAGGGAGCATCACACTGCCCAGGGGACAGGAGCCTTGCAGAGGGCGGGGGCAGACGTCCTTAAGGTCAGGGGTGCTGACAACGAGAATCTGCAAATGTCACAGTCAAGGCAGCTATGGCAACTGAGCACTGACTCCAGTGCCACCCTGGACAGGACTGGACACGCAGGGGACACCAGGGCAGGAGGGAACCTCCGTGAGGCTGGGTTACTTGTCCTTTGTGGATGTCCCAGCACTAGAACGTGAGAGGTTAATAACAGGAGGCAAGGTCAGGGTTTATAGAAACTGATCTCAAACAGTTATTCTTTTAAATCTTTATCTTAAAATGGAAAAACAGGAGATTGGGAGAGAAAAGCTTTATACAAAGACTGGAAAGTGCTTCTTGTCTGCTCTGGGATACAGCAGGCCTAACAGACTGCTTGGGTTCAGGAATGAGATCAAATGGCTGGAAAGAGAAGGAGAAAATAAAACTCTTACATCAGAATCAGGGAGTGAGAAATAAAACCCTTTAGTCCTGTGTGACTGGGAAAAAAGCTTCAGTGTTTTCTCTGACCTTGCTCCATCCAAGCCCCTGGGGTCGGCCTTAAAAAAGGTCTCTAGGCTCACAAGATGGGGTTACCTGACATCACGCCTGCCTCCTGGAAAGCAGCCAGAAACTGAGGCTGTACAGGGTCCTCCTGCAGAGTTGGCAGTGGCCAGACAAACAGCTGAACCAGGGAATATTACTCAGCAAAAAAAAGGGAAAACATTGCTGATACAATAAACACAACTGGAATACAATTGCAGGGGGGAACTGTGCCTAGTGCACCAAAAAGCCAATCTTAATGGTTTAATGTCTGTAAGATTTTTGAGGTGACAAAGTTTTAGAAGTGAACAACAGACAATGCTCCAGGGATGGGGGACCAGGGCAGGCACCAGGAGTGGTGGGCCTGGTTATTAAAGCGAGGCCACAGCTCCTGGTGATGACCTCTTCTGTACCTTGGCTGTGATGCACAGACCTACAGGCACCAAAACTGTACAGGATGATTTACACACATGGATGCACACACACACACACACACACACACACACACACACACAAGTACAGGTAAAACTGGGGGTTCTGGATTGCATCAATGTACACTGGCTGTGATACCCAACAGCTGTTCTGCAAAACCTCACCCGTGGGAAAACTAGGAAACAGCTAGGCCAGACCTCTATGAATCACCTCTTAGGACTACAAGTAAATACACAATCATCTCAGTTTAAAAAAATGTTTTGTTTTGTTTTTTGAGGCAGTCTCCATATGTAGTGCAGGCAGGCCTTGAACTCACCATGTAACTAACTGGCCTGGAACTTGAGGAAATCCTCTTGCCTCAACCTCCTGAATGCTGGGATTTTAGGCAAATGCTGGGATTGTAGACATGTACCACCTCACCCAGTTTAAAACTTTTATAGAACAGAACATGGTGGCACATGCCTGTAATCCCAGTACTCCAGAGGCTGACGCAGGAGGATTGTTGCGAGTTCAAGACCAGCTTGTGCTACAAAATGAGCTCAAGGCCAGCCTGAACTGCCCAGCAAGACCCTTGTCTCAAAAAGACAAAAAAAATTTAAATCATACCTGTTCAAAAACTAGATAACAGTATTCTGTATTTTTTCATCTAAGATCTGCAATTCCCAGTGTCTTCTAAGAAAACCCTTCCACCATATTTTAAAACAGCTTCAAAAGCCAAAGATAAATTAAAACTCTTGGCAAAAGTAAACTAAGAAAATAAACCAGTGTCTAGAATTCTCTGTTGCTTTGAAATCACCATGAAAATTACTCCTGCTGAGTTCCAGTTCGTAAACGTTCTTTCTCACAAAAAAAAAAAATTTTTTTTTAAATGAGTTTTAAGTTTCGATCCTGTATCTTCCCGGATGCGCCTGACACGGAGAGTGGAGGAAACAGACCAAAGCGTTAGGGGCTGATCGACCCCGAGTCAAAGGTGACCTTGGCCAGGCCTGTTTTTCCCACCTGCAGAAGGGAGGCGGAGGTGCTCCTTCCGCGGTTCTGGGGTGAATCCAGAGCCGATCCTGAGCCGGCACTGGGATCTCCTAGCTCCTCTTTCCTCCTCTGGCCCTCCCTTCGTGACAACCGAGCAAACTCATGTTATGCTCCCCTCGCCACGCAGCACTTGCTGCTCGAGTTCCCGCCGCGGAGCTCACCAGAAAGCCTGGCTCACTCCCCACGCGAGCTCCCTTACCACGCACAGCACTGCCCACCACCCTCTGGAGGAGAAACTGATCCCCGGACACAGCTCCTGCACCCGCCTCGCACCAGACGCGACGGTCACTCTTCACTGGTCACCGCTCACAGGTTCCGCTAACCGCGTGAGGTGACGGCCCCACGCGTGCCCGTGACCCCGGCAGTACGTTCCACGCCGGCTCCTGTCCATGACCGGGAGCAGCCGCGCGGCTCCGGGAACCGGGAAGGGACAGCGGCGAGGTCCCGGGAGGCTGGCACAGGCGGCGCTGGCCACGCGCAAGCGGCCCCAGGCAGCGATCGGGACCCCGGGGCGGCGGCACTCACCGTCCGTGCTCCTCCGCGCGTCGCGGTAGCGCGCCCACAGGTAGCGCTTCATGTCCCCGGCGGCCCCCGGCGCCGTGCACAGCGGCCGAGCGCGCCACGCGCGGGGCCAGCCCCGGGCCGCAGCCCCACCGCCGCCGCGCAGGACCAGGGCCGCCACCGCCATCGCCTCTGCGCCGCGGGCCACCGCCACGGCGGCCATCCTGCTGCCGCCGGGCTACGAGCGGAGCGCCGGGGACAACTGCGGGACTGCGCTCCGCGCCGCAGCCGGCGGCTCCTGCGTCTGACCACGTGGCGGCGCGGCCCCGCCCCCGGCAGCAGGGGGCGGGACCGGGATTGGATGGGGAGGAGCCTGGATTGGTCGGGGGCGGGTAATTCGGGGCGGAGATTGGCTGGAGTGAAACTGGAATGAACCAGGGATTGGATGGGCGAGGCTGATTGGTGGAAGGGCGGGGCAGGGCCAGTGGAGGCGGGGTCTGGGCAGGGCTGGACCTAGCGGGGCGGGGTCTCTGGGGTAGGAACGGGTGGGGGGGGTCAAGGCTGCTCCGGATGGGCGGGGCAGGGCGTGAGGAGGCGGCCCACGGGGGGAGGGGCGGGCCTTGGCCTGGGGGCTGAGCTCAGCCTGCAGCTGTCACTTCCCGGCCTGGGGCGCGCGCCTGTCCCATGCGGTGGCCCGCAGGCCATAGGACGACTTGTCGCCGACCCTGGGCTACGGAGACGCACCCCCAGGCTGCCCGCGGGGCCCCGTGCTCCTTCCTCCCGCCCTGCGTGGCAGCCCCCAGCCTGGCCGGGGTGCTCCCGCTCCCATCTCCTGTGGCCTGGACTCCGAAGGTGACCGCTGCCCGACCGGTGGGCCCGTCGGGGCGACCCCGATCGCCGGCTGGGATCCACGCAGGCGGGCCGGGCATGCGTAGGCGGAGGTGGAGGCCAGACCCCTGGGCTCCCCGTAACTGCCCTGAAGGCGGCAGCAGGAGGCCAGAGCCCGCCCTGAGTCCCGTCCCGGGAGGAGGCCAGGGCGGCTCCGGGTGCCTGCTCCAGCTCGGCTGCACCTGCCCCGGGCCTGCGGATCCGGATCGTAGAGCGTGAAAGGGCGGGCGGCGCCACGCTGGGCTGCGGCCGGACGGAGCCCTCGTCCACCCAGGCCCCGAGGGCAAGCGCGTCCGAAGCCACCGCGGGGCACGGCGGGGTGGGCAGACGGAGACTGAGCCGAAGGGCCGCGGGCACGGGGACGCCTGTGTGCATCGTCCTTAAGTCCCCTCGGTCATCCTGAACACCGGCATCGCCATTTCTGGTTTTACTGATAACGAACCCGAGGCTGAGAGGTGCCTCGGTCGCCGGAAGGAAGTTTCGAGTCTGAGCCACTCCTCTCTCCGCTCCCGACACACTAGGTAGGGTTCAGGAGGAGCGCAGGGATGGGGCAGCCACTGCCTAATCATTAACAGCTAGCAGTTAATGTTTTACAAACCACTGATAAAGCGAAGGGTACCAGAAGTCCCAAAGAGACGTCAGCTGGGTGCAGTGGTGCAATCACTTGGGGGAGGGGGGGACATCGGAAGGAACATCGCAAATTCCAGCCCAGCCTGGGTAACTTGGCGATTTAGCAAGCCTTTGTTTCACAATAAAAAGTTCTGGGGAGCTAATTCAGCGTGTGTGTGTGTGTGTGTGTGTGTGTGTGCGCGCGCGCGCGCCCCCACACAATATCAAGCCATAATGCATGGGCGCTGACACTTTCTCTTCAGATCCATTTTATTTCAAGGGGAAAAAAGAAGAAAAAAAAACCTAAAACAAAATTTCAAAACACATCAATCAGGACAACAGTGGTACCCACATTGCACATTATCATCCCCAAATCATTCAGTCTTGGTATTTTAAATTTACTTTATGCTTTCAATTTATTGCAATTTGTATCTTGCTTAATAAAAAACATTTGGTGACAGCCATTGTGAGTTTTGTTTAGATGAAAGACGCATGAGTACAAAATAGATTAACGACAGTAATGGAAAACACAACCAGAAGTTTAATGATGCTGCTCCTTTGTGTGAATTTAGAAATAGGTCCGGCAAAGTCATTGTTATTCCTGCCTAGAAATGCAAATGACTAAGACTTCCTTTTACAAAATCAAATCCATGGGCCGTGGCTATTACCACTCCTAAGTATTTTAGCAGGAGCTTTCCAATGAAACAGTTCTAAATTAAGCCAAGTGGGGAAAAAAAAAAAAACAAGCACAAGAGCTCACAGCAATTCATAGTCCTCTTTGGTATCATTTGATGTCCTCAGCAATTTTCTTTCTACTTGAGATCTCTGCAAGATACGCTTCAGGGGAAGCTACCTCCAATCCAGGCTGTGAAACCTACTTCCCTGATAAGAGCTCAGAAGGGAATGCCCAGGGATCATTTGTGCTAAGAGGCCTGGCAGGCAGTAAATTGGGGTGACTCAGCCTCCACTCTCCTTCTCAAAGGCCTTGACCTGGGCACTTCGGAGCTGCTCATGTGGCCCAGAGATAAACTCTTGCAGGAATCATCTTTCTTTGTACTGAGCACTTCCTTGCCTGGGCTGTTTTGTGCCTTCCATTGGCTCTTTTCCTTGGCAGAAAGGCAGAGAATGAGTCTGGAAATCTTTCCCCTGAGCTGGAAGCACGCCTGTGTTTATCTGAACCCCGATAGGGTGCAGCCCCAGGCTTTTAGCACCAGTAACTCATCTGCATATGGGCTCGGTGTGAGAACTCAGCACTGAGCAGTCATCCAGGCGGTGTCCTCAGGACAGCAGTCCTTCTCAGAGCCCACAGCGGGACACGGCTGGCTCTGCCTGGAGGCAGCGTCTCCTGCCCTGACCACTCAGTTTCCACTGAAAACTGCAAGAGATCGGCCACCCCGAAGCACACGGCTTTGGGGGACCTGAGTGGAAACTGCTGCAGGGCCCCCTCCTTGGGCTGAGACGAGCAGGTCTCAGACTGTGGGGAGCACCGAGAGCCTCTGCCAGCCACATGACGGTAACTGCCCTGCTGTGCACATGCAAATGAGGAAATCCGACTCCCGAGAACAAAAAGCATTTACTAAAGGTGGTAGGACACTATCACCTGTAGCAACACTACACCAAAGACCTGGCCGGGGATACAGTTCAGTGGCACAGCACCTGCCTGGCAAGCATGGGGTCCTGAGTTCGATTCCTGGTATCCCTGCCTCCCCAAGGAAGACATTTAACCCGAGTCTGACTGTAAAGAAACCATTAGAAGCAAATTGCAGGGACATTGAGGCAGGAACCAGAGGCTGGGAGCTGACTCTTCAGGAACACCGATGTGATGAAACATAAGAGAATTCTTTTTCCTCAGTAAGAAAACCTGCAAATTTATTTTAAAAGGATGGGTTGAGCATAGTGGCACACCCCTGTAATCCTCACACTCAGAGGATGAGGCAGGAGGATTGCCGAAAGTTCAAGGCCAGTCTGAACTGCACAGTGAAGCCCTGTTTTAAATAAATAAATAAATGAGTCGGGTTTTATTTCAGCCTCTGGAAGCTCACGCACACCCACGTGGTTCCCAAAGTGAAAATGTGCCAAAGTGTAAGGTGAAGAGCACCTCTCCCTTCTCTGCCCCATCCATGCCTTCGCCTCAAAAGGTCTCTAGCGTGCCCTCCAGGGACCTGTCAGGGCACGTCCACTTTACTGTCTTTTAAAGATGAGGAAACCGAAAGAAGAAACTTGCCCCTCCAGGTGTGACCATAAAATACAGCGCATGTTTCCAGGTTTAAAACTGTGCTCTAGCAGAGGACACGTGGCCACGAATCCCCCTCAAGTTCGCTTCTCCCACGCTCAGCCCGCTTCCTGCCCTGTCTGCAGCAGCTCTGGAGTCCCCTGGCCGCCTCCAAGTCCGGAGTCCATCCTAAGTCACTCGACTTTGGGGAAGAGCCGGAGGTCACAGGGCGCCAGGTCCGGTGAACGAGGTGGGAGGAGGAAGCACTGTGTTTTAGGAGCTGCTTTCCAGGGGAGGGCACACGGCAGTGACAGTCACAGTATTTTTATCACACCTGGTGTAGACGCTCAGGAAGGCAGACTCCAGAGCTGCTGCAGGAAGTGGGGAGCAGGTGGGATGTGCGTGATGAGGGGAAGGGACTTTCCGAGGGCAGTCATGGCACCGTGCCTTGCCATAATCATTTTTTCTCATTTAAACACACTGTGTCTTCTGATCAGCCCTTACACATGAGGGTGCGGCCACCCTGGCCCGGCCTCCCCCAGACTGCACCCTGAGGCACTTCCGGGATCCGGTTGCCCCTCTGAGTCCCGTGGACTTCCCCTGGCTCACTTCTCGCTGCAGACTTTTTTCTGGTAACCTGATAGCCACCTCCGTTTGTCTTGGTTTAGAATTCTCTCCCTGCTCCTCAGCTGGAGGGAGCTAACTGAGTTACCCCATAGCCAAGTGCACCAGCTGGAACCGAACTTAAAAGGCAAAGTGGAGAAGTGGGATGACTCATGTGGTCAGCGAGCTGGAACCTGCCCCCAGAGAGCCAGGTCCTACGGACCTGAGTGTCCCTTCTGACCCGGGCACCCCAGAGAGGCAGTGGCGGCCACAGGACCAAAGCTTCCATGAGAGCAGCTAGGCACCTAGCTCCCGGCCCCTCCTGACCACATTACAACCTGCTTTCCCACGAGACCCGTCTGAACCTGTCCTTGCAGTGTGACCTCAGGACCTTCCTGGGTGCAGTCTGGTTCTTGCCTTCTAGCAGCAAGGACCCAGTCAGGAAGGACGCCCTGGCCTTGCTCCCACCTCTGTCCACGCACTCTTTCCTGGACACTGGTGTGGACTGGACCAGTCCACTCAGGCTCATCAGAGTCAGAAGAAGTTACTGAACCTCTGTCCCCTTCAGCCTTCTCTTGGGGTGCAGAGGAAACCTAACCCTTACTGGTTTATTCTGCTTTATCTCATTCAGTCTTCAGAAGAGCCGGGTGTGGTGGTGCACCCCTGTAATCCCAGCTCTCAAGAGGCTGAGGCAGGAGGATTCAAGCTCAGCCTAGACTTAGTCTCAACAAAAACAAAAACAAAACAAAAATTTCCTCTGGAAAAAGAGAGGAAAGTACTTTATCCAAAGGCAGCCCTCCATCCTGCAAAGTAGAATTCTAAAGCACAACTTTTCCTTATCTTTACCCTGCTGAACTTAAAGCCTGTTCCGCTATCACCTAACAGATGGATTTTGGTGATGCCATCCTGCAAGAGCTGTCAACTGAGTCCCAGGTGCCTAGTGACAATTCAGGTAGTTGTCAGAAGGTAACAATGAAATCTTACACGCCTGTAACCCCAGAACT